TACATATTTCCTCCTTGGTGCTTTCCATGTAGCGAAGACCAAACCATCAAACAAAACTCGCTTATCTGTGATTGAATATAACTCCTCAAAGTTGAGAAACAACTCTGCTCAGTGTTTAAAAAATGAAATGTGCTGTAATTACTTTTGCAGCTGCTTCACAGCTTTCCCAGCTTTCTTCAATTCTCTGGTGAAACACCAGACATCTAGCCCAGTCAAAAAGGAAAAAAACCTCAAGATTCTTTCATCTTGATGAGACTTAGAAAAAAGATTTTTTTTTTCATGGCGTTAATTTGTTTTTAAGATTTTTGTATGACACCTTCATTTCTCTGTCTTTTTTGTAAGCACAAAAATATGCCTTCTGGAAGAAGCTTGGGTAACTATGTAACCTGGTACAGATTATAAGAACTCTGAGACTTGGTTTCCTCGTTTATAAAATGGTGTTACAAATAATACAATAAAATTACGCTGCTATCCAATGTAATGTTTAACATTTCCCAACTTTATATAAAAATTTTAATGTATTCTTTTTATATTTAAATCACCCAATCTCTACCCCAAGAGAGAGAATAAAACTATTTCATTTTTACAGAAATTGTGCATGCTTTATACATAATTTGGGGAAATTTCAAGCACTGCTGTTGGATATTCATCTACAGAGGGAGATCCCATGCATGGGGTCAGGAAGGAATACTGGCCCCTCTGGGAAGTGAACCCAGAAGTGTAAGATGTGGTAATTGAGAGTAATAAGAGCTGGAAAAATGGAAAATGCGTACCCCACCTAAAGGGAGCTGCCACCAGCGTTTTAACTTTGTGGTTGTCCACAGTCCCTCCACTCCCCTTTTTCTCTTATACCTCCATTCGAACAAAACCTAGAGTTGCTGATAGCTGCGTGTATGCCTGCCAGTTTGCAGTTTGCTATTTGTTTTCTAAATGGTCCATGTCTTTTGATTTTTTATTTGTCCTCTGTTCCTCCTTCACTTCTTAAAATGTGTCTCAAAACTATTTATTATACGGTGTTAATTCCTCTGTTGAATTTTAGCTTTTTTAAAAAGTGATTTTCTTAGTAGTTGCTCTAGCGGTTATAATATGCATCTTTAATTTACCCTCTACTTCAGTTTAATATTGACTTAATTCTGGTAATAGCATTGTTTTCTGTAATGCATCTCTATTTTCTGTGGAGCAAATAAAACAGAGCCTTTGGATTCTAGGACTCCAGAACTGAGAGGCAAGAAATTCCTATAATTAGTTACCATCTAATTACCAAAGTAATATATTTAGTATGAAAGATAGATTGAAAATATTTATACTGAATGCTAATACACCAGCCATCTGAACACACATTTATCGATTGCCTACTGTATACCAAGGACTGTACTAGCACCACTGGAGATAAAGAAGAAAAACAAGAATGATTCATCCTCCCAAGAAGCTCCTAGCACAGTGGGACAGACAGAAATATTAACATTTAATTGCAGTACTGGATGTTGAGAGCTATGAAAGGGTAGCACGAGGTGCTGGAAGCTCATTGAAAGGTACAGCTCCCAAAGTGGATGGCCATTATCCTTATAACCATCATTGCTTACACCTCCTGTGGTTCATGCTGAGAGCCACTGGAAGAGGCAGCCCCACACATCCTGGGATATGGCTCTGCCCCTGTGGTCACAACTGAGTTGATCAGATGCCTCACAGAAATCCAGCCCATCCATTGCCTCTGCTGTGCCTGAGGTTTTCTCTGGCTTGAGCTATGAGGTTTGCTATCACTTGCGAACTTTGCATGAGACACAACTGAGAAGTCATTATGTAGAAAGAGCAGCTGAGAATATAAATGTCTAACCACTATGCTGTCCACCTGGAATGAATATAAAATAATATTGAATGTCAAAATAAATAAATAAGCAATACGTAAAAACAGAAAGAGCATCTGAACGAGACCATGTTGGGCTTGTGCAAGGTGTGTCAGCAGAGGAACCTGGTGGAGAGAGCCAGGGAAACCCTCAGGGAGGCACAGTAGTCGGGAGTGAATACAGAGTGACCCGATTGACAGCGCCCTAGCCCAAGACCTGTGTGGCTCAGCTGTATCTTACTTGCTGTCTTTAGATCTTATCTGTTGTCGCATTCTTAAAAGAATGCCCCTCCTCTTTGCCAGGATCAAATCTTTCCTTATATACAAAAAGACTAGAACAGGGGTTATAGGAGACTTAATGAAGAAAAATGATGCCTGAGCAAATCTTGAAGGACAAGTAAGAGTTAGTCATGCAGAGAATGAGAAGTATGATATTCCAGGATTAAGGAGCAGCCCACACAAAGACTCACAGTCACAAGAAAGTGCGGCTCCTTCCAGGAACCACAATACAAGCAGCTGGGTACAACAGAAGCACATTGCAGCTGGAAAGAAAGAGACCAGGGATGCACAGCTGGCATCTTGGCACTGAATGAATAAGATGACTGAGTGAACTCTCAGCCCATCCATATCTTGAAAAATTCATTTCTGCAATTCAAAAAAATATACTAAATAAGTTTCCTGGAAAGTTTGACAAGCCAATTAAAAGACAGGATGAGTTATGATAGTCTGGTTCCAAGAGAAAAATTGACAGAAGTGTTGTGGTGTGTAAATATTTTCTTAGAAATTATTTCAGTGGGGAGAAACGCTTTCGAAATATCTTCATCGTCTATGAGTTATAAGTAATCTCATTTTGAAAAATTAAATGTAAGATGAATAAAATGGTAATTATTCACAAGTCTTAAACTTTTCATGTGGATCTAAAATCAAGTAATTTTGAGTCCTTTATATTAGTAAATTGAGAATCAAAATTGAAATTAACTTTATTACTACAGAAAAATTAATTTTCCAGAAATCCCAATGTTACTGAGATTATCATACTTTTTTCCAAAGAAAATGAAAATCTTCAACTTGCAAATTTTATAAGAGATCAAATTAAAATGAAGANTTACGAAAAGCACGCTCATGTTTAACCTGAAAAAGGAATCCCATAATTGCAGCTCCTTTCTAGAAGACATGTCCCAGAGCTCTTGGATGACAATTGTCAAGTTCCATTTGGAGGCTTTTCCTTTGGAAGTGCATCATTTGGAAAAGGTCCGGGGGAAGAGCAGGGGGTGGCGGGAAGAAGGGTATTGAAGTAGGGAAGGGAAAGAAGAATGGGTAAAGTAACAGTTTCAAAAATACAGCAATGAGTTTTGGTGGACAGTAATGTCCTACGGTATTTCATCAAAAGACACGAGGTAACAGTTCTTTCCAATTAAAATCGTGTTACAACAAAAGACTCCACCTAACGAGATTTTAAAATATTTAGGATTGTGCTACTTGTGGAAGTTAAATCCTAGGACACCTCCAAGTCAAACACCCAGAGTTGCACCATCGGAGCATAACAGAATGCTGTTTGACCAGCTGACTGCAGGGGTCAAAGACTAGAATGCATGTTCCAAAGGCAAGCCTTTACCAATTGTAAATCTCTAAGTAAATGAATAGGAAAGATTTAAAAACTAAAGTTAGCAACATTTCAAGAGAATCAACATTTAGATATGATTTCCCATTGGAGTTACATACAGATTCAATGTATAGTGACTGAATACCTCACAGGGTGCTATGAGGTGTGCTATTAGTACACCTGAAAGTACTGATACGTACTAAAAACTTAAGTGATCATGATATAAAAGCTAAGGGCTCCTATTAACAAAATCTAAAAAGGTAACTCAATAGACTTAAAACTAAGTTCTCATCAATATCATGGGTTCTAGACGGACACCGTGATACATGATGCAAAATATATTTTGAGATAAAAACATAATTTGGGACACTTTTTCAATCTCAGACTTATTTTTAAGTACTAAGTATGACACCATCTCTTTAGTACCTCAAAATACTGTAATATTTCCAGGATACCCAAACTACAGGGAAAATGGAAATGCTTATAAAAAGAAAAAAATATTTCAAAAATCTGAAAAGATATTCTCTGCACAGCATTGTTCAAATCATAATATGTAAGTGATGATATATTTTGGGGTACTCAAGTACATGGAAATGTGCTCTTTCCATATAACACAATAAAAATAATTGCTTCTCCTTGCAGTTTTTCAATTTACTTCCCCAAATACATTGTTCCCTGTGATTCTCACAATAGCCTTATGCGATGTGCAGTGGGGTTGATGTCGTCCACACTCTAACAAAGAAGAAACTGTGGTTTAGGGAGAGGTTATTAAAGGCCTCAGCCATTAATAACAACCACGAAACCAAGAACCTAGGGTTCTGACTCAGTCCAGCGCTTCTCACCACAGATCTAGCCTGAAAAACAAGCCCCACATTTCATAAAGTGGACCGTGGATCTTGCAACTGTCATAACAAAACAGCTGAGGAATAATGAGGACTTTTGTTAGCAACAAAAACCGTGTAGCCTGTGGTTAAAAGAGTGGACAAAGAATCATAACCGTTTCTTTACACTCACATATGAACACCAATGGCATTTCTAAACAGCTACATGGAAATTCCTAAACAGAGCCAAAGGAAAAAGTATTTTCCAAAGTTCTTGATAAAACCTGAGCTCCGTTAAATCTTTTCAGGTGGAATCAGTGACTGCCAGGAGCGTCATCAATATAACACCCGGAGCCACCCAACAGGGGGAAAACATTGGTGGTTGTTCCTAAGACCCACAACTTGCGGGCTGGTCATTTCTTCCCCTCTCTGGGGGTTAGAGGTGGTGTTTCTAAAGATCACAACTTTTAACAGCCTGCTTTCATAAACAGGCCTTTTTGAAGGCAACAGTTAACACACGTGAGAGTGAGCTATTCCCTTGGGGTGAAGAGAAAGCTCCCCTAGGGTGATGATGAGCACGCAGTGCCTGCCGCCTTGCAGAGACGAGCTTGAGGGCGAGGAGGAGCGGCCACAAGCTGCCTCTCTCCGGGCCCCGGGTGCTGATCGCGCTCGGAGCGCAGGAGCTGGGCGCCGCCCTCCCCGCCCCGGGCGCCGCGCGGGGCCGCGGACCTACCAGCGAGAGCACTTTATAAGTGTTGGGGTCTTTGGCCGGGCGGGCGCGCGCCGTCTTTTCCAGCGGCTCCTCCCCCAGGTCCATGGGGGCCAGCAAGGACGCGGCCGTCTGCGAGTCCCCGGGCGCCTCGGCGGCGTGGCCGCGGCCTGGGTCGCGGCCGTTCCCCGCCGGGCCCTCCCGGCGGCCGTGCCCGCCCTCGCCGCGGCTCCCGCCCCCTGCGCACCCGTCGCGCTCCATCGTGTCCCGGGCGCTCCCGCCCCGCCGGCCCGCCGCACCTTTAATAGGCTCCGCAGCGGCCCCGCCCCGCCGCCGCGTCCGCCCCGCCGCCGCCGGGCCCTTGGCTAGTCGCCCGCCACCCAGAGCTACAAGTGGGGGGAAAGCAACTCAACGCCCCGGATTATTTGGCTTCCTGTCTGATTTCGGGCACTTTGCGTTTCGGTTATTTTGGGTCCTCTAACGTGGGCGTGTCTTTAACTTCCCCCAAAGCCTTCCCCTCCCCGCGCCCCGGGGCACCTTCCGAACACTTGCAGGAATCGCCCTGCGTGGCCTCGTGGCGCTGGCGGGACTGGAATTGCAGAGTGTGGTCTGCAGAGGGCATGAGATCATGGGCTCCCAAAATAGAGCAGGAGGAGAAGGGTGCAGCCGCCCAGTCTCGTGCAGTTTCACCAAGGTAGGCGAGTGGAGTGGGGCAGACCTGTGTGTTTCTGGGTGCACATGTAAGTAGGGGGACTACGACCTTCTTTTTCTCCCACGTATAGAAACAATCAAGAATCCCCTCCAAGCCTGCCGACCCACTACCTGCACTACTCCTAGAGAGGAACATCCAATCTTAAAATATCTGGATTTGCAAAAACAGACACAGAAGGGATATTTAGGTTTCCATGGCGTTTTGTGGTTTCTGGGGTTTTGTCATTGCTCTTGTTTTAATATACTTATTAGTTCCTTTAAACGTTCTATATGGAAGGCTTCAAAGTGTCCCGTTGCCCTATCCTGAGGTTGATGCAGATACTTAGTTAGCAATATCAAAAGTTTAACGCCATCCGAAATACTTCGATATTTTATTTTTGAACTAGGACACGAACAGTAGGCTATAATTCTTGCAGGGCGTTGATTCACCTTTGATTCGACAACTTTTACATTTCCTTGCTCATCAGTTAGAAAAACCACAAGCGTGTAGTAAAGGGAAGCGTGTCAGTCAAGGGGAAACCAGTGACTTTCAAGACCTTTGCAATACCTGGGACGACCTTCACTGACTAAGGAAAGTTATACAATCTCCAAACAATTCATTTTCAATTCATTCTGATTACATAAATATAGTCAAATTTTTAAAAATGAGAACAGGTGTTGAACAAGATATAAAGTGTGTCTTGCCCCCTTTAAAATCTTCAACTTGGGATGCTTTCCATTTATATTGACTCCATTCATTCATTCATTCATTCATTCATTCAATAATGAATCTTTCAATCTTTGGCCTCCAACTATGCATACCATATGAAAGATGAATAAAAGTATATCTTTCCCAAGTGGCTTTTTCAGTCTGGGTCCAAGGGGGTGAAGGCAACAAACAAAACATTAAAACCCAAGTCATACACGCGTAATAGAGTCACAAAGAGGATAGTCTGAAAGCTTAGTGAAGAGGATAGTTGACATCTGGAAGAAGTAAAGGCCATCCGTCAAAGCATTATTGAGCCTTTTTTTTTTGTTAAACTACCTTTGAGTCAGCTTACAAACCACCCAAGAGAAACAGGTTTTCACCATTTCAGAGTTACACATATTTTTTTTTTACCCCAAACTTGGCTCCAAATTTTCCAATAACTGTTTCCAAAAATCAGATTCAAGGACAAAGATTTGCTCAAAGGAGACTGGTGAAATGAGTGTCGAAACTTTGAAAACCAACTCAAGAGAGATGTTCCAAAGTGGCTTTGAACCTGACAAAACAAATGTAGTAAGTGTATTGTCTGCTTCCCAAGGCAATCAACCACTTGAAAGACTTCACCCATTGGAAAAGTCAGTGTACAATCTGCAGGATAACAAACTCAAACATCTAGGCATCTACAGGAACCAAAAATGAGTGAGGCAGCCAGTCCCCTTTAGGTGAACTGTGTGCCCTATTAGAGGGGGCAGCATTTAATTCTGCAGTGAATGGGTTGTTGTGTGCCCATTGTGGCCAGAGGGATTTCTCAAGAGAAACAGGGAATTTAGATGTTTATGTGACTTCTCCAGATTGCAAAATTTCATCTGCAAAATTGAGAAAAACAATATCTTGAAACACTTTAAAGGCCAAACAAAATGTAACACATCTGCAGGGTGGGCCTGGCACACAGGCCACCAGGATGTGGCCTCTGCCCTATGCTTACGCCTCGCCTGTGCCAGTTGGGACTTTTATGGGTAACTAAAAATCCAATTGGAATCCTAAAATCAGAGGAATAAAACTGGATCAAGTATGCCATGCATATTGATTAGCTATAGACATCGCAATGCCTGTTGTTAAGCCTTACTGGGGTCTTACTTATATTCTCAGTGGTCTGAGGGATGGCTTTATATTCCAAAGTACAATGAGGTCATGAGACTTAAAACTGCAGCACAACTTCTCTGGTTAGTGCAAAGCTAAACCATGAATGTTTTACCCTTAGTCCTAAGCCACTCTGCTTTAATGATTGAGGACTAGTGCAGCAGTGTCAAGATGATAGCTTAAGGTTTTATAAGATTTCTCAAGTTTTACTATACAGAAATATTTACATATTTCCTCCTTGGTGCTTTCCATGTAGCGAAGACCAAACCATCAAACAAAACTCGCTTATCTGTGTTTGAATATAACTCCTCAAAGTTGAGAAACAACTCTGCTCAGTGTTNAAGCTATGTTCTTGGGATTCTTTTCCTTAAAACCAAGATAAAATGATCTTGATTTAAGGGTCCAAAATCACACCTGTGATAAAATGTTTGCTACCTAAATTTGTGTAAAGTCCTAAGATATAATGAGAAAATGGTCACTCTACAAATGAGATATGCCTGTGAAAATTCACTCCTTCCAAAATGACTTTCTATCATGACCCTCTATTTTCATATTCTAGTACATTTTAAATGTATTAAGAAAGAAACTCAAAATAAGAAAGTCACTGTCCCCAAAGTCTGTATACAGTGGAAGCTCACAATAACACATGACTATTGACTTGACACAATGTAAATGGCAAATGGATGGGATGGCATTAGCAATTAGTCCAGAGTAAAACTTTGAGTTAAAAGTCCTTCCACTTATGATGGTCTACTACTTCCTAATGGTGTGACTTTTGCCGATAAATTTAACCCACTGTTTCTAAAAGTGGAGCAAATGAACCACCTACATCTAAATAACTTGAGGCAGTTGTTACAAAAGGCAAATTCCTTGAGTCCATTCCTGTCTTAGTCTGCTTGGGCGGCTATAACAACATACCATATACTGGGTGGCTAAAATAACAGAAATTTATTTTTCTCACAGTTCTGGAGATTGGGAAGTCCAAGATCAAGGTGCTGACCAATTAATTTCCTGGTGAGAGCTCTCTTTCCTGGGTTGCAGATGGCCACCTTTTCGCCATGTCCTCACATGGCCTTTCCATGGTGAATGCATCAAGAAAAAGGCCAAGATCTCTCTCTCTCTCTCTTTCTCTCTCTCTCTCTCTCTTCCTCTTCTTTTAAGGCCACTCACCCCACCATGAGAGCCCTGTTCTCATGACCAAATATAAACCTAATTAGAACTCCCAAAGGCCCTATCTCCCAAACACCATCATATTCTTAGGGTAGGGCTTCAACATATGAATTGGGGTGGGGGTTGGGGCCACAAACATTCAGTCCATAACAATTCCAAATATTTTAATCACAATCTCTGGGCTTGGAGCCCAAGAGTCTGTTTTTCATAATTCCCAAACGGTTCTTATGCACACTAATGTTTAAGAACACAGATTGTACCCATGGGAACCAGATGTTTCCTTACCTGTAAAGTAGGACTGTCACCATACTACCCAATTTAAAGCTGTTGAGGTGTTGAGGATCAATTAAGAATATTGGGAAAATGCTTTCTAAAACTTCAACGTGCTATGTGAGTGATTATAATCATCTAAACTTTTAATACCTACATCTCCACCAAATCTTACTCTAAAAACTAAAAGTAAATGAGAAGAAACTAACAAAAAATATTATAGATGCTATCTTAATTCTTATAGAAGTGAATCTCAGATAACTAAAATAGTCAGGAAATAGTGTTCTAATTTATCTTTACCTGAACATTCTGGTTATTATTTTTTTTTTTTGAAAAGCCCTCTTAAATGTATTATTACACTTCCTTTCCCTGGTAAATACATAACTCAGCTCTTATATGATGCCAAAGGGTTTTCGTCTCGGGTCAGCACTCTTATCAGTTCTTGCTATACAGGACTTACGTTTAGAAGAGCAATCTCTATTCTGCTAAAAGTATTGTTGTTTATTTTTGTTGTTTGGAAGACATTTCATGACTGATAGAGGTATGTTTGTATGAACCAAAGACAGATCTCTAATTACAAGCTGTATTCCAAAAGCTTATTTGTTCCTAAATTGTTTGAAACTTGAAACGTTCTTCCCCTTGCCAAAAAGAAAATTACGAATCTCTGGCTTGTCCAAGAAGCCCATAATATAGATAAGATTCATTTTCTATGTCTTAAAAGTCACACAAATAGTTTGCAATGGAATTTATCAAAAGCAAAATTGACTTTAAAACTGTTTTCATTGACCTTTAATATTGATATCTGAGAAAAAAAGTATTAGCTAGAGGAAAATGAGAATACAAATTTCTGCAAATATTCTTAAAGGATTAATGGTCTCCAGTCCTTTATTATACTCATATACAAGAATGTATAAGGTCTCTCAACATGGCCATTAGGGATTCTTTTCAGAGTCATGATTAGGGTATGATGAAAGAGATGACAAAACTGAGTGTTCAGAGTTAACTGAAAAAGTGGGATAGGAGGGAAAAAAGAAAGATGTTGAAAGGGTGGCTGCATATCCATGAGAAAGCGACTGCTTAGAGTAGAAACAGCTCAGATATTAATGCTGAGAGAGAAAAATACCAGAATATGACTCAGAGCAGAAGAAAGGAAGCAACAGAAAGTAATGCTGGAGAAAATAGTTCCCTCCAAGATCCACAAAGACTGAACTTGGGGTGTGACAGCAAAGTCGCCAAAACAGAAAAGGCCTTGGTATAAGTGAAAGTCTCATTTGTACCTGCAGGG